CTTCTTAATTGTTTGCTGAATTCCCTACACCTCGTCTTTAAAATGGCATACCCAAAGAAACATGTTGATAATAACAAACAACACCCAATTAAAGAAAAATATAAAAGTAAATGAAACAACAAAAATGTTCAAAACTGCAGCGAGAAAACAACAGAACAGTGGAACAGAACTGAGATTTAAATGTTGTCGCGTCGAATTGATAAACATCAGCAGGAGTCATAATTATGGTTATGGCTATTGTCTGTCATTTTTGGTTTATCTGCAAAGCAAAATGGCATGGCAAAAACTTCGATAGCAGTTTCTTAACATGAAAACACCTTTATTTGAATTTTGTCTGTAAGGACGGTGTTATATATATATATATAGGAGGTGATGCAAATGTGGTATACCCATTTGTTTTTAGATTGCCAAATTTTTATTTTTTATCCGATTAAATTGAAAATTTACACTTAACATGCTACATGTGTTGTCTTTCCATGTATCAATTTGAAAATAATATTATTCTAACAATTTAAGAGATATTTGAGAAAATATTTGAAATCCCATAAAAATTGATTTTAAAAAAAGTGCAGGTAATGTGGTATACCACATGATGTTAATGTGGTATAGTATAATTTTCACTTCCAATTGATATCTTATATAATTTATTGTTTTTAATGAATGCGAATTAGCTCGAGATTTATGTCTGTTAAGATTTTTAACGGATACGTTGAGTGCAACTTTAATTTTTATTATTTAATAATGTCTACACATGGCAATATTTAATTTTTGTATGGAGAAGTTGTTAAAACTCATAGCCTTTGTTTTTCATCCTTGTGATTCATGGTAGACTCTCGTAGAGTACAAATGTTTCACATAGTAATGAGATTTTGTCTAGTGCTGGCCTTTTTTCATGCAGAATCATATATTACCTATTGTGTTTATATGTCTAGTTTTTTTCCAAATTGGTGATTATGTGGTGCAATCGCGCATATTATTTGATTTTTAGTTCATACTGATTATTTTAATGCTTGAGTAATAACGATTAAAGTACATCCGTAAAACAAAAAATTATTTTTAAACTTCAACCAAAAAAAATCAATTTCATGAAAAATTTTATTTTTGGTACTGATTCTCAATGTGATTTAAATAAATTAAACAGGTCATTGCTATCTTATTTTTTTGAGAACAGCAAACTATAGAACATGTTTCAGTTATTCTAAAATTTTCAGTTTACAAAAAAAGTGACTATACCACATTACCAACCTATACCACATTTGCATCACTTCCACTATATATATATATGTATATAGGCCATCTGGGGGTATAAATAAATGAGTCCATTTTATGTTTATAAAAAAATATTACGTTATATATTCTATCATGTTTAAAAAAAATACATTCTATCATGTTAAAAAAAAATTACATTATTAGCATCGTTTGTTCCTACAGGAATATTGATAATATATGAATGGATGGATGTGTTGATCTAATTTTCCAAATTACTTGATAAGATTTTTGATCTAGGGTTTACATAATAAGTAGTTATCTCTTTATATATCTTCTGATACAAGGTTGAGCCTTTTGTTTTGATATTGTTCTTGAAGAAGCCATCCTCCTCGTCAACGCAGAGTCTACAGTAATCATTAGCATCATGGTCCCATTTACTGTTAAAGGACCTGATATTGCAATGACCAGTCATTACTCTTATTCATCTTTGCTCATGTTCAACAGTGAGTGTATCATTTTGTTAGACAGAGTCGGCCATTGCACCTATGTTCATTGTGCCAAAGTTCATAGACTCTTTCGGCGAAGAACGCCTCAAAGTTCCGATAAAGATGAAATATGGGTGGTTTGATTGAGCCATCAATTGCTAGATCTGTAGATTGAGATCCTCGTCTATCTAATTTGTCTGCTCAATTGTAACTTCAGTAGAATTTAAATCATAAGAAAATTTACTCAAAAAGGCTGTATATGTTAAAAAGTCTTTAATTCACTCAGCTCATACGAAAATACATTGAAGGATATGGATTCACTCCACACTAATCAATTCATTTGCGCTATCTTAATTATAATTTCGAATCCTAAGGCGAAGTTAATTTAAAACATAAGACAATGTCATCTTTCAATTGAAATCCCCACACAATTTGGTTACACATATCAACAAAATACAAAAAGATTCAAAAAAGAAGAAAAAACAGGGAAAGTTAAAAAATATATTCCAAATTGAAACAACAACCATCCAACAACAACACGAACAAAAACTTATATGAATACACATAAATATTCTAGGAGTGAACTGGTATAAAGATGGCCAAAGGCAAACATCCAGTCAGTCAGCCAGCATATTCAATGTCTGTTAAAACACGACTACATTTCTACACTCATACCTCCGATCTATATCTTGTGCAGCTAGCTGGCATCTAAATGAAATGCCAAAAATATTGTTAATATCAGACATTTGCACTTTTGCTTGAAAAGATGAGGCAAAAGGCCATAGAAATTATGAAACAGAAAACCCCAAACAAATGAAAACATAATAAAAATGAAAAAAATAAAAAATGATATGCAAAATAGCATTCATTTTATTATACCGGGTCGGGGGTTAGGTTGTTGAAAACACATGTACGATAAATGTAAGCAAAAAAAGTCTCAAGAATTTTGTATTCAAAATGCTTCAAATAATAAATGACATTTTAGCCGATGAGCAAGAATGAATTGAAGACATATGTATATGATTATGACGAGCTTTGACCCTAAACCGGATAGAATGTTTTACTAGAATTTATCGAAATGTTTAAATCATACAAATAAAAAACATTAAATCCATTGTATCTATTTAGCATATTTAAATGCCCTCTTCTTAGCAATGAAATACCATAAAACACATATTAAACCAAAATAAATCATTTAGAAAATCCAAAACAAAAGTAACACCGAACACAAAAAAAGAGAAACCGAAACTGCAACATAAAGGTGACTGGCGTAACGACAATAAACTTGTTACAGACACAACAGGCTGGATGGCAGGCAACTGCACCCTCTTACTCTCACTGGCCGACTGATATTGGAGGACAATGAACACTACTATCTCTCTCTCTCTTCTCTAGATTTCTCCAATAATAAAACTCATACAATTTTTCGATTGAGCCATATAATGAAAAATGAGTGTATTTTTATACAAGGTGACTCAAAGCCGCCACTACATCTGTGGTTAGGTATCAAACCCACCAATCCATCCATGTGCCACAGCCAGCCAACCAACAAAATGAAACAGAAAAGTATCATTTCTGTGTATACACTGGTTTCAAATTGGAAAATTTTATTGGGTTGGTGGGGTATACAAGCATTTTAGGTTACAACAATTCGTAGTTAAATGCAAGAAATTGTAGTATTTTCATCCCCGATATGACAAATAGTCTGAACTCTATTTGGTTTTCATGGAATGTTGAAGGCAATTGAATTGGTATTGAAAAAAATTCAAATACCCTTTAAAATTCTAAAGCTATTTTTTTGTTTAATTTTCTCATGGTTTTTTACTTAATTTATCATTAGTTCGACGCTAATTTGTTTTGTTATATTTGGCTCCGTAAAACATCCAATTTATGTCCATAAAAATATAGATGGTTGCTGGACATATTTTGAATAACAAAAATTGTATTTTGAGTTGTATTCCCAGATGATTAGATTTCTTTTACAATTGTTTCCAAAAATAACAAAATCCATAGTTGTTAACTGTTCAGAATCACTGGATCACTGGAATTTAACGCTAAAGAAACTCCCTTAGCACTTCATACAGAACTAATCTGAAATCCACGATTTCTCTGGACTTGATTTAAGTGACCTGACCCAAATAATGTGGTTCAAACAATCGGACGTTTGCATTCACTATTGTTTTTAGACAATCGGCTTAGATGACAGCCATTTGACAAAATGAGACTGCAATCGAACACTTCGCTCTCATGGAACGATCTAGCACACCATTTTTATCCACTCTAATTACATTGTCTTGCAATTAAATCCGATTTCGTTTTGAAATTATCATAGAAGACTTCGGTTTTTTTTTCATCTAGAATCCGTCTTTATATATATACAAACCGTTTTAATAATAATTAATTACTTTCTAATCATCTGATATTAAGCTCTTAAGGAATATAAAGTAAAATATATAGGAATTCAAAAAAACAATATCTGGACAGAACGATCTAGCGTTAAACAATGGGCCAATAGCCGAACATTTTAAAATATAAATATAAATTATCAAAAAAATTTGTATGACTCATTCCACTGTCCCTAATATCCCTGTGATGGAGGACAAAAGTGGAAAAGAGACCATTACAAACATTGTATGTAATATAAACTAACACACACACTTGAAAACAGTAAGTACATAAACACCAACAACAGCAGCGTAGATTTAGGACATCCATTACTATGTGCAACGACGACGACGACACTGGCGACACATCGTTTCCTCTACACAGCTCGGTGTCGTTTGCTTGCTGCTCTTGATATAGCCGTAGTTCTGGCTGTGGCTGGCTAACAACATTTTACAACATTTTAAATTGAGGTTATAATTTTTCATATAAGCTTAGCATTTATACAGCCAAATACCCGTTATAAATGTATTCTCAAGCCTATTGACTTGCATGTCTTTGGTTGTAATCATAATAAAAGAAAAGGTCGTCTTGTGGTCATACTTCTACGGATCTTAAAAAAACAATGAACAGTAATATGAATAATTATGTAGTATGTCCGTTGTGTAGAGCAAAAGGACAAATAGAAATTGAATTGTTTGGTCCAATTTGGTATTGCACCAAGGTTTTATTCTGTTTTATTTACAGCAGGCATGAGGTAATTGGAATCCACGAGTTGATATAGCCAATGAGTAACAATTATTTCAAATTATTTGCAAGTTTAGTTTGTTTACTTTATTGAATTTCCAATTATTGATCTATTTTTTTAATTCTTTAAAGATATATAGTCGCAATCTCTACAAAATATTGATTTCGAAGCTTAAATTCTCACATACACACAGCTGGTAATATAGAATGAATGGCAATACCATTTCGTATATTAACCTCCATGTGTATAAGACGATCATCATCAATGCCACAGGATAGTTCTCCTGTCGGAACCTGCAGAGCTGAGAAAAATATTGAAGTCTTTTTACAATCCACCGAACATGAAGCTTCTATTTGATCCTTATTTTTTTCAGCTTCCGACGGATTTATTTCCTTAATATCCAAATTCTTATATGTTGTTGTAATGGTGGCCATTTCAGTTTCCGCCACAATATTCATTTCTCCCGCCGAAGTGGCATAAAATATTACCGTAGGCGATAAATTCTTGATCTTATCGATGAGGCCACGCATCAAACGATTTGAGGGTACACTGAGAGACAACTTTGAATTTGGCTTCTGTGGCAATTCGTAGAAGTCCCATTCACTGCGTGGTATAACAGTCACCGGTACATCATGAAAGGTTTGACGTAATTGATTTGAGCTTTGGGTTAAAACATCCACTTCAATTCTGAGACAGGGGAATTGTATATTATGCAATTTCAATTTGCAGCGCCGGGCATTTGAACGCAATGACGATAGGGCCCGACTCAAATCGATCGGAGAGGTTGAAAGCATAATTTTGGGATGATTCTGGTCGGCCAATTCAACATGATATTCGGAAAAATATAACTTGGCATCAATGTCTACCCATACCAGGGGTGCTGTGGTGCCCGACTCTTCATTGGCGATAAAATGAACTTTGTCAGTTTCAATGTTGATGACACATTCCTTGGTCAGTTTGGATAGTGTGATAACAATATTGAGAAATTCGCGCATATATTCTGCATCATCCATGGCAGCTTTGAATTTCATCTTGCTGTGTTTGTATGTGTCTATATGTAAACTGAATCCTGTTTTGATGCACAACAACAACAACATATGAAAAAACGGTATGGAAAATGAAACCAAAAACCCAAATATATTAAACAAAAGTAATAAGTGAGGAAAATGAAAGAAACATTAAAAATATATGAAAATGTAGACATTTTCTAAGTTATCCACTACAATGGCTAGTCATTATCCTGCAAAAAATGTAAACATCTTTTATACGGTCCACGGAACGTTGTAAAAAATACAATAATGTAAAGTGCTGACTTTAAAAACTACAAAGGAACAAAACATTTCCTCGACACAGGGGTCTACGATCCGAAACGAACCGACTCTTACTCGGCCAATGTCTACCACCTCAGCCTCAACAAATAGGACTGCTTCAATAACATAACATCGGGTTGGGTTACTCCATCCTGGAGAATGGTTTCCTCCCTTACAATAGTTTCTTGACACTTTTTCCATAACAGAAAGTAATTTCGCAATGAAAAGCACACACGTTCTTTTAGAGTCAAATAGATTTTTTATTGTGACGAAATAAGCTAATGCGTGTGAATTACCCTTTTCCAGATTACTCTGCCTGTAGTAGGAAGTTAAAATCCGATGAATTTAGGATGAGTTCGATTCAGGTGTATACATCTCATAACCAGATACAATTTTTTACGTAGAAAAGAAAAAAATACTATCATATAAAACAAAAGATTAACAGAATAACCACCTTGAATTTTCCAAAATGTTTATGTCGCATTGCCGTTTCTTCCCCCACCGTACAAAAATGATTTGACAAAATAAACGTTTAAGCACATTGTTATTTGTTTGCTTCTTCTTCTTTCTGATAAATTATATCAACAATTAGCGACCTTTTTTTTGCTTTTAGCATTTGGCATGTTTTGCCATAATCGAAAGTGCTCCCCTCAGATCCCTCTTCAAACAAACAACACAGCTTATTTTTTACAATAACTTTTTAATATTTTTTTGAAAATATTGCACATAATTCAATTCGTATTTTCTTTATGAACTTTAATATTAAAAAATTCACTTACCTTTAATGGGAAATTCTTTAATTATTTGCGATTTTTTTTATTGATTTTTTCGACAAATTCACGGAGCTTGTGTCGTCCCGAACAGGGATACGTAAGTAGACTTTCAACTAAGAACGTTGCAATGAAATGAACGATCGGAACCAGGATAGATTTAATAAGGTTGCCGTATCAGTCACAGCTGTTGGCCTCAACAATGAAGATTTATTTGACGCTTTTGCCGTACTAAAAGCATCTACTAGATTTTACTACTTTCTTCGATATCATAACGGAAATTTCGTTATCGTAGTAAAAAGTAATAGATTCTTGCAGTACGGGAACAGACCAAAAATTTAGTATTTTTTACTATTTTTTCCGATATCATAATGGAAAATTGTTATCGTAATAAAAGTTATACAATTACGCGGGTTCTGGAACAGTCCATTTATTTATACATTATTAGGAACTTGAAAATAAATAAAATAATAAAGGGCTTAGCAGAATGCTCGCGTTGAGCCATCCGTCGCGTTATATATTATCGAAAATACAACAACCCTTAACCCTTAAAGCGGTGTACACACTATCATTTTTGACTGTCAGCTTTTTTATCGATTACTGACTGTCCAACAACCATAAATATTTTTGTGGTTGCCTGATGAATGACAAACATGTGAGACCACACTATCAAACAAGCAAAATTTGGGCAAGAGTGCCATTCAAAAATGCTAGTGTGTACACCGCATAATACCATGTACAGACGAACGTTGTTCGCTCTCTCATTCGTTGTTCGACCCTGAATTATAAAGTAATTACTTAGTTCCCCATACAAAATTGTGTGAGCGAACACCGACTTTTGTACGTTGTTCAATTCGAATCACTCTCTGAATCACCAAAAATGTTGTCCCATCTCTAACAATTGAGAGAATTTATCGAAAATAAATTAATTTTGACAGCATGAAAAAATTTTTAAAATTTTCAAACTTTTTCAGTAAAATTGAAAATGATGAATGAAAAGTAACCACAATTCTAGTTTTTATATATGCAGAAGGATGTAAATTTTGTTGTCTACATAATGCAATGTGCATTTCTTTCCCCTTGGTTCTAATTAGCGTACAAAACGAGAAACTAAAGTGGGGAAACCCAAACAAAAATTCTCCCATTTTTTAAATGTGACATTTGAGTTGAGAAAATATAAAAATGTATTGAAAACAACAATATTTTCAGAAAAAATGGAAAACATGAATTAAAAGTAAAGTGATAGGGGTTGATATTATAGTCAGGAGAAAGAGAATTATTTTTTCTATTTAAATCCATAAGTTATTTACGCAAACATGTTACAATTTTGGTGTGAAACAAGAAACAAAAATTTTGAAATAAAAAAACTCTGATGACATGAATTAAGAATAGTGTTGTATGAACGGGTTAATTCATATACGTAATTCTGAGAGCGAACTACGTTGTTCGAATGCCCGTCAGAACATGGCATAAGAGTTAAATGCCAAGTTGCTCGCATAGATTTTTAACACAAAACTTTAATACAAAAACTTGAAAAGGACTACCAACAAAATGAACAACGGAATTTACAATTTGAATCCATTTGATTTACTAAATCCAATACACTGTAAATGTAATATTATTAAATCATTTATTTATTTAATACTTGAATTCCTTTTTCTATTATCCAAAATAAAACATTTTTGTTATCATCGGCGATTGCAAATTAATAAAAATCGATTTTAGTGAAGGTTTTTGTTTTTTGCACAGCCGATTAATCGAACGTCGAATTAAGTATCCCTAGTTTAATGACTGAATGGTTTGTGTGTGTGTAAAATGATTCTGAATGTGTGTGTGTGTAAAAATAGTATAGTAAATTAAGAAAATAGTGAGAAGAAAAAAGAATGAAATTGCTCGCAAAAAATAAGGGGATAAACAATTATGAATGAAATTAAATTTGCGAGAAAATATGAAATGGAAAAGTCAATTTTTCTATAAAAAGTGTCAAAAAATATTTGCTGCAAGCGAAAAATTGATGAAGTTTTGGTAAATTGGTTTTGGGAATACCAGAAAAAGGTAAAACCGGCTACCAATTGTCTGAAAACTGCGTTGTACGTGTGTGAGTTTGTGTGCAAATATAATTTTTGGGGGTGTTGTGGCTTTTTTACAACAGAAGAGAACTTAAAAGTTTTTCCTGAGGTAAGTTGTTGTAATTGCCAAAAGTAACATAAACATATTTTGTTATTTCATATTTTCATCTTCAAGATTTTTTCGCAAAAAATTGAAAGAAAAATGTTCGCTAGACTGGTCTAAATATAAGAAGAGCATATCAGCTCCATTGTTTAAGCGACAGAAATTACATTGACGGGGACATCATGTTGTTGGCAACTCCAGGGCAGACCACCGCAACAGCATACAGTACATTGCACAACAATACCAATAACAATACGGGCAGCAATAGTACAACAACAACAAATGCATCAACAACAAGAAAACAAACAGCTGTGAATATGTCCTCAGCATCTGCCAATCATCCACCAGTTAACAACAAACAAAACAATTTATCCTCAACTACCACATCTTCCACATCGTCGTCAGCATCCTCAGCATCGTTGTCATCGTCATGCATAAAATCGAACAATATAAATTCCCTCAAGAATCACAATAGTTTTCATTTCCAGTCACCGTCAGCACTTAAAAATGTTTGTTCTTCCAATGACACCAAGACCACCAACAATCCACAGCAGCAGCTTCCGCAACAACATTCCCTAAAAACTACAGACAATTCCAAATCATTATCATTTATAAACAGCCTAAAGGATACAGTGCAAAAGGTCTTTGTGACCACAGCAACAACACCATCCTTGGCCAGAAACTGTAATCAAACCAACAACAATATCACAACGACATCATCCACGATTAAAACCACCAACTCCACCAACAGCGACAGCGGCAGTACTGTCAATCACTATAATACCTCTAAGACGTCCACCAACACCACCACATCATACTCCAATATTAATGTCACCTCCTCGTCATCATCCACAACGCCTGTGGCCAGCACATCGTCTATAAATGTATCTGCCGCAGTGGCTCGCAAAAAAAGCGTTTCACAGAATCTAGGAGTAAAGCCGAGATTACACACCATACCACCAACAATATTACATCGGTGTCCCGAGGAGCGGCAAAAAACAAGCAGCACTGATAGTCTTGGAAAGGAAATGTGCCATTTTAAGCCAATACGTAAGGTTCCCACAACGCCATGGAAAAGGTATGTCGAATTGAATTGTATTTTTTAAGCATTTCTTATTTCCGTTCTGTGTGTTTTTTTATAGTGGCAGCAAATCTCGTGGCAGTTCTCTACGTTTTCCCAAAGCAAATCTTGCCACAAGAACAAATGAATTTATTTTAAAATCGAACTGTGATGTTAACAATAGACAGAAGAAGAAAATATCTGTAACGAAAGTAGCTCCGAATGAAAGAAATGAGACTGCCGATATAGTGGCTGGTGATAACAACAACGAGGAACAAGAGAATAGGGAATATTATGAACATTTTAAACCAAAGCCCAGGTATGTAAACATCAGGTAGATTTGAATTTCCTGAGTTCGTCACTTATTTTACTCCCCTTATAGCACACTTCATCTGTTTGCCGAAAGTGAAACGCCTAATCATCAATCGGCATTTGTTTGTTTGGTGGGACACATGAAAAATCTAATAAATATCCAGTCAACTAAGATGTCATCAGCAAAAGGTGGTGACATAGTGGATGGAGGTTCACGAAATACCCGAACTGTACGCACAAAGGAAATGGCAATTTCTTCACAGATTACTGAGGGTTGTAATATATTTAAATCACCAGCGCCAGCATCAGCTGTAACTAAGAAATTGGATATCGCCAGTGGAGGAAAAAACAGTGAATTATCGGGAAAGGTAAAAAAAGCTAAAGGTCGTAAACAAAAATTAAAAGGTGCCAAAACAAATATTGTACAGTTGATGAAAAAAGAAAAAACTCAAAAAACTTCAACTGCAGCACCGGCTAAGGATGCTGGACATCCAACGGCTGCTTGCCAAGGCCAAGAACTCAACGAAGTAATAGAAAATAAAAATCGGAGGAATAAACGTAAACGGAAACTGACACCAGAAGCCACAAGCAGCGGCAAGTCATCAACGATTCCCCCTAAAAAGGATAATTTGATTGTACCAGCCACACCCACGCTAAGATCGATGACAACAGGTAGCCATAGTGCAAAACCACAACTGGATGTTTGTACGACTAGAAATAGTCAAATTGGAAAACGTTTTGAAGCCAATTTGTCTAGAGTTGGACAACAACGTGTTGGTAATTTTTCGCCACCTTTAACACGATCCCGACTGAAGCAAATTATGGGCCATGAACAGAGAGACCTCCAAGTCAAAACATTAACTCCAACAGCAACCAGTATCAATGCTGAGAAAGGCAAAAATTAAACATGCCGAAAAATGTTGGAAGAACGGTATAGATATATATTTTTTTAAAGAATAACTTAAACTCCCGATTTTAATTAACAAAACAAAAAATGTTGGGAAGCAATTTTAATATCTATTTGAATGGAATGGCCAATATATTTTGTATTTTTTATATTATTGTGTCGTTTTTTTGAATCAAATTTTCACAAATAAATTTGTCAGTTTGAATGTCGCAGTATAGTTTACGGATAGCCATTATTGAATCTTATTCGCTCATTTACCATGAAACATATACAGAAAATAACACTGGTATGTTCTAATATTTTTCAATTTTGGCAATATTCAAATTTGGAAAATTTATGTTTTTTCTACTATTTCCTATTTTTTATAAAAAATAGCATATTTAGTAAATTCGTATACATCTACATTTAAAATTCACAACTAAGATTGAACAAACTGAGGTTAGTAGTGAAGATTGTTCAGAGGACAATTTATTTCTAACGATTAGAACTAACATTTGTCAAAATTTTATTAGTGGTTCTAAGCTCAAAAGATATGATAAACAATTAATTTATATTTTTCAACACAAATGTTGTGTGGTGTGTTCTTTATATATAAACATTTTACTATTAGTTTTTCAATACAAAAAAAAAAAAAAAAAAAATAAGGATCTCATTCGATATGGCGGCCTTTCATTCACAGGTGGATGTTGATTCAAAATTATCCCTATATCCCACAATAACTATAATAATATTATAAAACTTATACTTTTATAAAATTACACAAAAACACCTTAATCATTAGCATACCAACCAAGAAGACGAAGAAGAAGTATAAAGTATTAAAGACAACAAAACAAAATTTAACTCAATTAATTTTAAGAAACAATGATAAAACAAAACTTAAATCCTAACAATAAATTAAAACTGCAGCTACATAAGAAATTGAATTCAAACCCCCAGATTAACAAAAAATTTAGCAGAGAAGAACTTTATACATGTGTACTTTTTTGAAAGAAAAGAAAAAACAAATCAAGAAAACATTATTATAACAGTTTCTTTTCTTAAATCTGTAATAGCAAAAAAAAAAAATAAATAAAGAAAATTGTATGAATACAAAGCATAAAAATGTAGTGAAAAGTTTTTGCATCAAGAAATACAAATTTCTTAAATACAACAACATAAATATTTCCTATAATTTATTTTTATGTTAATCTATGATTAATTTGTCCTATCCCTAAGTATTTGTGTTTATGCTTTACACATACAGAAAAAAACATAATTTGTTATGTAAAAAAAAAACAAACAAACAAAACCAACGGAACAAAAACTATTGTGTGTTGTGATATTAAATGATGAGAAATGTTTCTTTTTTTATTATTTTAGTCTTTAGTCTTATTTATATATAGATATATGTATATATGTCGAAACACATATGTAGAAAAACCTATCTATATTACAATTAATTAAAATGCAATTTTCTATAAGTTATGTTAAAATCTAATTTTTACATATAAAAACAACATTAACGATATTTCATTTAATTTAATTTTTCGTTTTTAAAATTGAAACAAAAAACACACACTTTGTCAAAGATAATTTGATTATCTTTGTGTTTTATATATATACAAATTGTAATCTCGTTTTTTTAATACATATGTATCTTTTTACCAAAACGAAAACATAAAAATAAAATAAACATTTTTGGCACTGATACCGGCAAAGTTTTGAAAAACCATAGTGGATATTCTTAACAATTTTTAAAAACAAGAAAGAATTAAATCATACAACATAGTTTATAGCAGAGGAATAAAGAACAATTGTAAAAGGCAAACTGAAAAGAAAAAAATAAAATAAAAATACAAAATAAAAAATTTCAAGAAAATAGAAAACCAATTACAACTTGAATTATATATATGAAAAAATATAAATATATCTAAATATGTATAAAATTAATAAGCCACTACTTATTACAAAACAAACAAATAAATAAAAAATAAATTCAAAACAATGGAAACAGTTTAAATGGAAATCTATATATTTTTATTTGAAAGTATTAAAGTATTAATTTCCTATAATTGGGAGGATAATGTATCCAATCAATGCCAATGGATAGATTTTGCAATCTGACATCAGCGATAAGTCAGTCAGCAACGACTCAACGGTCAAAAATGATACAGACATGTCCACTCTAACATCAAAGACAAAGAGGAAGAAATTGTAAAACAAAAAATAAATGGATACTGGATTTAAAAAAAAAAAATTAGGTGGAGCCTTGGACCACAATTGGCGTGGAGTTTTAAAAGATTTTTATGCGGAGCCATTAATCACAATAGACATAGATTTTTTCAAGATTTTTAGTTGGAGCCTTGGACCACAATAGACGTGGATTTTATAAAGATTTTTAGTTGGAGCCTTGGATCACAATAGGCTTAGAATTTTTAACGTTTTTTTATGTGGAGCCTTGGACCACAATAGGCGTGGATCACAAAAGGCTTAGATTTTTTTTAACGTTTTTTAGGTGGAGCATTGGACCACAAAAGACGTGGATTTTTTAAAGGTTTTAGATGGAGATTTTTGGGGGAACCTTGGGTTGGATGTGATCAAAGAAGATTCCTACAGGCCGATAACAATATTAAATCAAATAGCGAAGATTCTTAAAACATTGCTACCTATTAAAATCTCTAATTTGCTGGTATTCCACGTTTTCCTTACCGCGTCATTGAGATGATAACAGTGAATGATTATGTGTTCCATGCTTCCGTACCCTTGATTGATGAATTATTCTATTAGTAATATTTTTGTTCATTTAGTCTTATTTGTCTATACGAGTGAAGGGTCACGATGCTTTCCTCAAGCTTCATGTTTTCTTTAGAATTTCGACTACCAATTAGCTCAAGGTTCGATAGCCTGCATAAGTATACCGCGTATGCAATAGGATTGGAACAAGAGCAACTCAAAACTCTTGCTGGAATACTTGGAAATCAGAAACAGACATAATATTGAACGCCAATAAAGCGATTTTTTGATCTACACATGAAAAAAATCCATCCTACAAATCCATCAATGTTCTGGAATGCAACTTATTTTACAATATGAATTTATTATTTTAAACATTAAATAAAAAAAATAAACATTAATCAAAATGATTTATTAATCTCTATTCCATGAATCTCATTCCTCCTCCATCACTATCATTTGCTGTGGCAATATATCCCATAGATCTTTTAATTTATAATTATCCCGTATACGTTCCATGGCAAAGCCCAATTCCTTGCAATAGACCGGCTCACGGGGTGGTTTTTCTTCACCCACCATAAGGCTGCCCTCAGCCAGATAGGTATTTAACTTTGAATTAATTTCCTTTTCTTGACGTTCATCGATTTCCTGAAATTCTTCCACCTTAAAATCCTTGCGATGCACTGTCTCAACAGTCGAACGTTTGCGTAAATCGGGTGAATCATAAACAATGCCAAAGTTAGGATTTTCCGTATACACCGTGTGTAATGAAACTAATTCTTTAAATATTTCCGTTAGACGTTCCGTGGGATCTATGCGAAATCCCAAAACATAACCACCACCTGTTTCGGCAGTTTGTATAACCAATGCGGGACCATATTTAGATTCACGTATTCGTATCTGAAATTCGAGAAGATTTACTTTAAAATCTGTATAGTTGGGTGGGAAAAAAAGAGATCGGCCTACATTGGCTATTTGTATATAGGGTAGACTGATGTTAAAGGTCTCATTGGCATCGGCATACCATACCACGCGAATATTGGTAACCACAAAACTGCCTAAATTTCCTTGATCACTGCTTAGATTCCAGACACCATTCACTTTGTTGATAACCTGTTCCTGTGGTAGAATAATCAGTTGGCCAGATTGTAAGATTGCTCCTCGCAACTTTAAATCGCGATACAAATAGGTACGTTGATATAGTCTGTAAGGGATAAACACAATTGGATCAAATTTCAAATTCAAATGTAAACACCAAGTTCCACACTTACTGATAAATATCGAATACACTTTGAAATATGGGCATATTTTTGCGTTCCGTTTCTCCAGATACATCGGTAAATAGGAATTCAAAACGCGTATTACCACCAATGGCCAGTATGTACAGGGCCAAACAATTGCCACGTACTTTGTTGCTGGTCATTTTGGTATTCATATTGGCAATGCGTCCATAGCCAATGGCTAAGGTTGCGGGAGGAAGTCAATTGTGTAAAATCAAAAGAGGCAGTCAATTTCAATTTATTACATAAAAGAGAAAGAATTTCTTTTTTCACTTACATAAATTGAATTTTTTGTGTACCAAGGAATACCATATTAATCGCAAATTGGTAGCCAGCAGACGTCCCGAATCTCCAGGATTACCTTTGGTATCTTCTATATAATAAATGGTCGATATCACTTGTTCGCCATTACGCAAATGCTTTTGCCTACAAAACTACTAATTAGAAATTAACGAAAAATATAAGTTGGATTGTTACCCACACATTGGGAGTATCAAATTTGATTTCCTTATCTTCCCACAGCAGATTGAACGGTTCCACAGATTCCATTGGTAATGTTTTGTTAATAAATGCTGAATGTAGAAACAGTTTGATTGCTTTTTTCGACTTATAATTGTAGTATAAAGGTTTCCATTGGACAATTTCGTTACTAGGCAACCATATAATTGGTGTTGAGGGACAAAAGAAAAGTTTGTAATATGACACAGCGACTCGAAAATGTTATGTCAAATAATGTGGATACTTTTACAGAGTTTGATTTCATTATCCTGTCTAAAATAGTTATGTTCCAAATAAGTTTCACATCAAATTAATTTTTTTGATTCATTTCTTTATTTATCTTATAAAAAATGACTTTGAGTTTGTAAAAAAATGATTATTTAGTATATATATGTGTTCTTTAAAGAAAATTTGTTTAGCATTATTATCTTTAGGTAATGGAAAAAATGCTCGGCACTTATAAAGTAAAAATCGTTATAACTAATCAAGGAAAAAATTCTAAATTTAATTTTATTTATGTATATATATTAATATGAACTTAAATCAAATATGATATAGCAGCAGTATAACAATAATTATTAGCCAATAAAGTGAAATAAATTAAATATGCCTAGCAAAGAGTTGTAAACATTGGAAATGCTCATTAAATACCAAATATATATCAAAAAACAATAATGGGAAAAAATTAAAAATAAAAACAAAAATGCAAAGTAAAATATTAGAAAAAAACTGATTTATATATAGAAAATATATATTTTTGTATGTATAAAGAAAGCACACAGTTAAATGAATAATATTGCATAAACATAAGTCGTCCGTAACAAGGTAATATAATAATTTTTGTTTTTTTTTGAAAAATATGAAACAATGTCAACTATTTATTACTTGTAAAATAAGTAACATTTATATTGATGTATAAAAAACAGCTTGTCTTAATATCACCTCTAACGGAAACGGATTTTCTTCGTTTTGTTGGCTGCAAGCTGAAATAACTTTCGCCTAGTCGTTTTAAACCTAAAGTGTATTGCCTATTCTTTTGTTTTTTTGATTTTTGTTGAATCTACATTATAATTTGAGGTTCTGGTACACTGGCTGCGATATTTTTATGCGGCAACACCTGGCCACCGTTTATGTATATTTCATCTTTAACAATGACATCTTCACCCAACACCGTGGTACCCTCCAGTCGGACCCAACGACCGACTATTGAGCTCCAACCAACAATACAGGAATCCAACCAGGAGTGTGACTTAACAATAGCTCCTTTGAGTATGGTAGAGCGTTTAATACAGACACCATCCTCGATGACAACATCTGGACCAATTGTAACATTGGGACCAATTCGACAGCCTTGACCAATTTTGGCTGTGGGGTCGACAAGAACATTGCCAACAACACCCGGACCAGTGTAAAGATTAGCCGGTTGTTTTTGTCGCACGGAATTCAAATAGAGACACATTCCTAAAATGAAAGAGGAAATATGTGGATGAGAAAAATAATATAATCAATGATAATGTTATAAAATGGAAGAGCTATGGCATCTGCATTGCATTCGTTTTGATAAGATAATAGCTATTCGAAACAATAATATATGTATTTGTAAACTGATAAGAAGTAATTTTGTCTTATTAATTTTTAATGACACTATTAAATGCAATTAGAGACAAGATATTCGATCAAAACAAACACACAATATACCATAATTGGTACTTAGTGGAATCCTGTTAGCAGTTAGCAGACTTCCACTTTTGATTTACTATCGATTAAAATATATTATGGATAACAATCTAATGTATTATAATTCGGAATGTGGTCCATATTAGTGTAGAATATTATATTGTTGTCTCTGAATAGCGTAGAAGTGTCATGTGGCACAAATACACTGCGTTGTCCACAGTTCAATTGTGTAAGCTTCCCTTTCTTCTGCATATTTTGTTCCTCATGCTTTTTAAGTTTTTAGTACTCCTGTAATTTTAATGGTTTTTATTTAATCAAAGTAGGTCATGCATCTCGTGATCTTGCGCTTAGCACCTGTTAACTTGATTCTTATCAAAGTATCATTTGGAACAATATGAAAGACATAAAGTCAAACAGCAAAACAATGATATTCCCGGAAACAATTTTAATCAGAAAGTGAAGAACACAACATAGATAAAAACCATATTGATATGTTATTTTTTAATTGTTAATTTCCTAGAATGGTATCTTATCTAAATATTGAAAAGTATTGCATACATTTTAATTATTGATTTTTATGGGTGAATCACCAATCATATATTACTTGCTTTACAAAGCGGTGAAATCCCGTTCATGAAAAAAAAAACAAATGTTTAAAAAACCACTACATTCATGAACAAATAAAATGTCACACACACCACAACACAAATGCTAACCATATTTAATATTTACCCGTCAAAAAGTCTTTTGGTTGACCAATATCCATCCAGAATCCCGGCAATTCCATGGCATACAATTCATGCTGTTCAGCCATTAGAGGAAATACCTCCTTTTCTATTGATGTGGGCTTAACTTCAATGCGATCCAACACGGATGGATTAAATATATAAATGCCAGCATTGATTTTATTACTAATAAATTCTTGTGGTTTCTCTATGAAACTTTTGATGCAACCGTGTTCATCGTATAACACTACACCATATTTGGAGGGTTCTTCTACTTTGGTCACGACTATTGTGCCCTCCTTGCCGTGATTGCGATGGAATTGTTCCAATTGTTTGAATGGGAAGTCGCAAATGACATCCGAGTTTAGAACATAAAAAGGTTCATTGCTGGCACTTAAAATGTGTTTAGCCAAGGCCAAAGGTCCGGCAGTTCCCAGCGGTTCAGTTTCATGTGAAAATATCAATTCTACGCCCAGTTTTTCTGCTTCGATTTTTAATTCTTTTTCCATTTGTTCAGCACGATACGATACAGCCAAGATGACCTAGTATATGATACATGGAGAAACAAAAGATTATTGGATTATGAACCACACACTCTCGTATATACTTCAATATTGCATAACTGCAACTTACCTGAATACATCCCGCACTAACCAATGCCTCCAGTTGGTGCAGTAATATTGGCTTATTGGCAAACTCCACCAGTGGCTTTGGTGTGCTCAATGTTAGCGGACGCAATCTTGTGCCATAACCCCCAACTAAAATTAAGGCTCGTGTTCCTTTTGTGACTTGAGGCGATGACCCACACATGATGTTTGTTATCAAAATAAATGTTCTGTGGAAATATTGAATGTAAAATAAAACAAAATCTCGTTTATGACACGTCAGTCTTTTGCACTTGTATTTTCACTGCACAACAATTTTCTTCCCTCCTGCACCGTCACCCACAAAAAACAAACAACTAAATGCCTTATTTTTTTCGCTCTGTAGTATTTCCCAACTAGCCAACAAAACAGGTCATACAACAACAACTACTAGCACCACCAACGATAAAAAGTCTAATTGTTCTCCAACTGATAAGAAATAAAGTTTAATCAATATTTGATGTATTTTTTATTGTTGTTGCTATTGTATGCCGGCATATGATGTGTGTTTTTTTTTCTTCAGAAAACGATTACCCTCGCCAATTAGATTCTTCTCTTTGTTTTTATTTGTTATTGTCTCTCTTTCGCGACTGTGTCAACACCCTCCTTTTTTCAGATGTAAATTGTTTATTTGGACGATGATGGTGGCCTTATTACAACGTACAGTAACAACAACAACGGCGGAGTATACAAACCAATCAAAAGATGTCACGTACTTTTTGTTTGTTTCACAATTTCAGTTGTCAAATTTCTGTCACATATAAAATGTAATTTGATGTTTATTTATGGAACTCTACTAGATGATGTAAATACTATTATATTTTATTAGAGAACTTTGTAAAAAATTAATTTCTATTACAGATTTAACAAAAACACAAAACTTTTGACGTTTATTCGCCTCTGTGTTGTATAGAACTTAGAAAGCGAAGTTGGTCGTAGTGCTTGCAGCACTTCAGAACCTAACGAATTGAAAAACGTTCCAGATGCAACGAATTAGTGCATTGCCCAATAAACAGGTCGCAAGGTAGATATACAAGGTAGCCGCATCGGCGAATTTCTACAACAAACATCGGTTGTTGTATTTTGATATGTCAAAAATATTTTGCCAAAACAAACAGATTGACAAGATTTTTTTACACAAATTTTTGTAGAAAATGTTAATAAAAGTATTGCAAAGCTCTTCGAAATTCGGAGATTTTCATTCATAATTTTGTTTTTTAATTTTTTGGTTCAACATTACAACAACATTTTTGACATTTATTTGTCCAACAGCTGGGCCGATGCGGCTACCTTATTAAATATACCTTGACAGGTCGTATATAAGCGAAATGATTACACGCGAAATATCAAAATGCTTTCAATTTTTACTGATTCGAAAGAAAATCCCTCAAACTGTCAAATTTTTTGTTTACGTTTTCACGCGATTAAGAATAAAGGATAACGGCGTCCAAATACAAGCTTGACTCTGATAGTCCTTTATAAATTGACAATTCATACGAAACCAACTTAACAGGAACGGCCTGCATTTTCGTATGTGTTTCCACCTTTAGGCATAATTGTCTATTTTGTCTAGGAAAAGACATGGGATAGTGCAAAATCAGCTGATTATTATGGTTTCTGTAAAATTAACGAAATAAATACTGATTTTAATAATGATTTAATAAAGAGTATAAATAATAAAATTACAAACATTACCAAAGCGACGTTTTTTTGCTAAAACAGCTTGTTGAAAACAAAAAAAAATCGTTGGGTATGTTCAGTGCTCGTTTAAGATCATAAACTGCACACATGGTATAAAAGGCTTCATGCTAAATCTACCAACCAAATACAAGTTTATGGGTCATACAATTTATTGCTTTGCAATATATTTCAATTAATTGAAGTTATTTTTGAATTTCTCTGTTTAAATTTGAAAAGTTTTATCAGTTTTTGAATATAAAAAATTATTATTGGTCTTGCAGTACGGGAACAGACCATATGTGTAAACGAAACACACAATTTGGGTTCCATAGATCGAAAAATGTAGTTTATAGGGATTTCAAAACTATAAAACGTATCGATTACTGTGTTATCGAGTGGATGGCACGTAATTAGTGTTGACGTAATGTAAAACAGCTGATTTCAGAAAAAACAGTATAGCTTTAAGCAAAAACGGAAATTTTTCTTACAAAAAATAAATTTTAACTTTTTAAAAATTATATAAAGGTATTTCAAGTAAATATGTGTGTGATAAGAATGTGTTATTATTAAGCAAATAAGAAATATGTGTTATATTTGCAATGTCATCGTCTGGATTTGGTGGCCAAGAATAACTTTGCTCAAGAGAACTACGCGAAAAAAGGCGCCAATTTTTTTAGTTTAATATAGAAAAATTTTTTGCAGTCTGTTAATTATCTATGAATTATATCGTTGCAAGGGTCACAATGCTGTGTAGTCATGGGCCTCATATACCAATTGGTACCTAAATATTCGAACTTAAAATGGAAATGTACACGCATAAAACACGAGTAAGTGGCGCTAAGCAAAACCCCAATGAATGAACACAAATAAGACGCCAAAAATCAATTTGAACAAAATAATGCCACAAAGCAGCAATACATTTCATGCCAAATTTCGAGGATATCATCACAATGAATGCTAAAGTAAATGCAACAGAGGCAAACGGCAAACATAATCGTCCAACATATAGACGATATATGATGACATATCGCATCATAGTTCAAACGGCAGGGAATACTTCGATCAATTTTCTACACAGCAGGCGCCATCTTTTCGTAAAGTTGATGCTGTTACGGGGAGAGAGTATGGCTTGTTTCTTCTTTTGTTGTCGTCGTGGCTATGGAAACGTTAACAGAAAACGAGGTAGGTACTAATTTGTGGTAAAAATTTTTCTTGGGTAATCGGAATTATCTATTACTATCTTTTATAGCTGCTAGATCGTGTGAATACTTTTTTGGAGCGGTGGACTGACAGTAGCGGTTGGAGGGGATAATGGTAAGCTTCACATAGTATACAGTATGTAAAAATTTTTGTAAATAATATACATTTAGAATTTTTGCTCAGACAAATTATAACAAAAACGAACCTAACAGTACGTTTACATTTAACCGGATTTCGTTAACCCAGTGGGTTTCAATTGTCATTTCCTTTGCATATAAGTCAAATAAATCCTCATAAAGTAGGTTAACCCGGTAAAAAGTTCTAATGTACAAGGAGTTTAAACATATCCATACAAATGTATATTTTCTGTGTTTAATTTAAGGTTCGGTCACAGACAATTTTTTTAATTTAGTTTTAAAGCACATAGTCGTTGTGGGCCTGATTACAAATATATTTTATAGTCCTTAATCGATACCACAATTGCATTTAAACCCGACCAATCCAGTATTTGTGTTGTTGTGAATGTCCAATAAGCTCTTACCCATTAAGCCATCAATCTCTTAACAGATTCGAGCAAATTATTAAAGCAATGTCTTTTGTCAAAAAGGCAACATGTGCTCTACTTTTCAAATTGTTCCATTGCGGTACTGTTAAGTCAATTATAATTGCAGCCAACATATTTACTAAAACTATCATAACAACCTCATACCATTGCCAATATTACAGGTATCCTTTGATTTCATTTAGCCTTAGCCCCCAATGGTATGCGTGCTGTGTGCGTGTGTGGGAGCAAATATTAAACAGTGACAAGCTTGTGAAGCCACACGGCCGGTCGACAGACAAACGGACAAGTGATTATAAAGTACACTTGTGTTAAAAGCGACCAAACAGTGAGAAAGGAGCTCCAGGCATACGCGCTTCTTGTGAAAAACGTATTCAATTCAGTAAACAATGTTTGGCTATATAATGGTCATTTTTCTTTGCGTCGATTTGAACAAAGTAGAACGTTTGCTTTAAGCCATCCTCTCAAATCCGGGTCCTTTATGTTAGCTATTAAGTGGTAATTTTTAATTTACCCCCAGCTCTTATCCGACAAAATACTGCTTGCTTGCTTGTTCAACATTTCGATTATTAATTGTGGTTCCGCAGCGTTTTTAAATATTGTTTATTTGCCATTATAAATCATGGCATTATCAGTCAGATACTGTGGACTCGATGGATCTGTCCATTAAAACCGCAATCAAATCGATATTTGTGGTTGCAACTGGTGCTGCCGTGTTGTTGCTGCTGCCTGCCTGCAAATGTTTAGTTTTGCATTTGATTTCGACATTTGCTAAATGCATTCGGACACAACTAATTACAAATGTTGCCAATACATTTTCAAATGATGTGGTTAGTTGGCTGACTTTGGCTAGGTTCGTTCGTAGTCGTTGTGAAAGGAGAATATGTCATTTAAATAGTGGCTTTGTCATTAATTTTTCAATTTGTTTTTGTTGTTGCAAAATGATTTTGTGGTCAATATGACAGCTAGTTATGTATGTATGTATATTTGAAAATGTTTGATGCTTTTCTGGTTTAATGAATAATTTCAATTGTAATAGAATCATTATTGTTGAATGATTAAAATATGAGTATGAGGTGGGAGGAATATGTCAAATCTAATGTTTGAATGTTTAAATGTAAAGGTGACTTTAAGTTATTGATTTAAGATTAGATCAATGAAGAAAGGTTTTCGTGTGTAGTTTTATCTTGCAAAGATTAAAGAGTCTTTGTAGGCGAAAAGTCTCTATAGACGAGTAGAAGGCAGTAAGTCCACAAAGACAAGCTTTTGACGCGCAGTATTTACAGATGAGTTGAAGGCGGATGAATTAATCCCCTATAGAGGATCTTCTCTAGTTGGTATGAATAGACCAGTTGAGCAAAGAGTCTCTATTGTAGCAGCAGTTTTTGCAGACGAATTGTTATAATCAAGCTGTAGGTAGGAAGTATTTATAGACAAGCTGAAGGAATAATTTTGAATCTGAGAATTCATATTGATTGGAGAGCCAGTATTTTTAAATAAGATATATACATATTTAAACTTGAGCTTCAAATATTTTTACCGACGACCTGATCAAAATGTCTAAAAAAAACGTTTAATTGAAAATACCCAGATTCATTATCAATTTTTTGGTAACTGTGAATTCAGAGAAATGTGCGTGTTTTATTATCAAGACATAATTTTATGTTTAATATTTTCATACACCAAGCATTCCGATCAAGCCTAATTTTATTAATGATAAGTAT